TGACTCTTAACTTTTATAAAGAATATCTCTTTGGATTTGAGACTTTAGTCTTTGCAACTTTACAGATCTTCTTTATGCACCAAGAGCTTGTAACACTCCAAAGAGAAAGGAAAAATTGAAATCGCATCATATGACCCCTTTAACAGATTTCATGAACTTCACCCTAATGTTTGTGAAAAGGCTGATTAATGTTCATAATTTTCATGTTCACATCACCTAGTCTTATAGAGAAGGGCATGATAGCCTACTGCTGTTTGCTGTGTGGGTGTGTGTATTTCAGGCCTTCTTTCTGTTGTGTTGTCCTCACGACTCTCCTTTGGTCTGGTTGCGTTCTCAGTTGCCCGTCTGAGTTTAAAAGCCCGAGGTGTGATGAGAGAGCTAACCCGTGCGATCACTACTGTCAGAACCAGGGCGTTTGTTCCCTCACCGCCTATAACAAACCTCGCTGCAAGTAGGTCTTCCTGGTTCATCAAATTTACAAAACATTCCAGAACATTCCCACAATCCCATCTGCCGCGGACAGCATGCGTCTTGCCTGTTCGTGGAATGAACACACACAAACATCGCAAACCAACTCGCACAGCTTCCAAGAGCACGTTTCACATTTCGCATTGCACTCCGGTTTTCCGGACACACGCCGCCATTTCTCCGCACCATGCTGTAGGTGTGCGTTTGTTTCATTTGTATGCTTGCCATGACTGGAATTTTTGAATAAGTGTTAGTGGTTATAGTTCTGCATATGCTGAGGACGATGTGTCTTTGATTGCTCTTCTAGTATCCATTATTTATCATCATCTTTTGTTGCAGTATTCATAATTTCCTCTATTCGTTGTCTTTCCATTTTGATGCTCCGTATTTGACATGCATTTTTCTGCCTTTTTTCTCTTTGCTTATGTTTAAACATGCAGGGCACTTTTCACGAATATGGTTCACTGGTGTGCCAAGGTTTTTTTCTCTGCATAAATAAATAAATAAACAAGGAATGACTATTTATGTATGTATTTATTTTTGTTTGTTTTGAACCCTATTACATATGTTTGCTGAACTAATATATAACATCAAATTTGACCCACCATGAAAACCTGCTATATTTAAACATAGAAAAATGTCAGTAGTTTATAAAGTCTTGGCATTGATTATTAAAAAAAATTAAAATCATATATATATATATATACGTATATATACAACATTATTGTTTTAAACTGTTTTATTATTTTATTTATGTTTTAGTATATGAAAATGTTATAATGTTTAATATATTTTATATACCTAATAATTTATATACAGTGGGAGAAATATTTATTTGATCCCCTGCTGATTTTGTAAGTTTGCCCACATACAAAGAAATGTAATTTTTATTTTAGGATTATGTTCACGTATAGAGAAAGAATACCAACCAAAAAAAAAAAAAACACATTATTACAACATTATTGTTTTAAACTGTTTTATTATTTTATTTATGTTTTAGTATATGAAAATGTTATAATGTTTAATATTTTAGGATTATGTTCACATATAGAGAAAGAATACCAACCAAAAAAAAAAAAACACATTATATAAAGGTTAGAAATTGATTTGCATTTCAGTGAGTGAAATAAGTATTTGATCCCCAAGCAAAACATGACTTAGTACTTGGTGCAGAAACCCTTGTTGGAAAGCACTGAGGTAAGGGATCTCAGGAGGGATTTTGATTCACTCCTCTTTACAGATCCTCTCTAAATCCTTAAGGTTTCTTTCGGTCGTTTGGCAACTCGAAGTTTCAGCTCCCTCCACAGATTTTCTATAGGATTGAGGTCTGGAGACTGGCTAGGTCACTCCATGACCTTATTGTGCTTCTTCTTGAGCCATTCCTTTGTTGTCTTGGCGGTATGTTTCGGGTCTTTGTCATGCTGGAAGACCCATCCATGACCCATCTTCAGTGTTCTGGCTGAGGTTCTCGTCCAAGATTTTACAGTACATGGCCCCGTCCATTTGCCCCTCAATGCGGTGAAGTCGTCCTCTACCCTTAGCAGAAAAACAGCCCCAAAGCATAATGTTTCCACCTCCGTGCTTGACTGTAGGGATGGTGTTCTTGGGGTCATAGTCAGCATTTCTCTCCCTCCAAACACGGCAAGTTGAGTTAATGCCAAAGAGCTCAATTTTGGTCTCATCTGACCACAGCACTTTCTCCCAAGCCTTCTCTGAATCATTTAGATGTTCTTTGGCAAACTTTAAACGGGCCTGTACATGTGCCTTCTTGAGTAGTGTGTCCTTGCGGGCGCTGCAGGATTTCAGTCCATTGCGGCGTAGTGTTACCAATGTTTTGCTTGGTGACCGTGGTCCCAACTGCCTTAAGATCATTAACAAGCTCCTGCCGTGTAGTTCGGGGCTGATCCCTCACCTTTCACATGATCATCCTTACCCCATGAGGCGAGATCTTGCACTGAGCTCCAGACCGAGGCCGATTGATGGTTGTTTTGTATTTCTTCCATTTCCGAATAATCGCACCAACAGTTGTTTCCTTCTCACCAAGCTTCTTGCTGATGGTCTTGTAGCTCATTCCAGCCTTGTGTCTCTGACATCCTTTGACAGCTCTTTGGTCTTGCCCATGGTGGTAGGAGAGGTTGGAATGTCTTATACAGATACAGATTGTGTGGACAGATGTCTTATACACCTAACGAGCTGACATTAGGAGTAACTTCTTAAAGTGGCAGGACTAATCTGTGTTCCACATGGGCACATCTGTGGGAGCCAGAATTCTTGCTGTTTGGTAGGGGATCAAATACGTATTTCACTCACTGAAATGCAAATCAATTTCTAACCTTTATATAATGTGTATTTTTCTGGATTTTTTGGTCTGTATTCTGTCTCTATCCATTAAAATAAACCTACCATAAAAATTACAGTCCCTTACTTTCTTTGTAAGTGGGCAGTCTAACCTTTATATTAATGTGTTTTTTCTGGATTTTTTGGTCTGTATTCTGTCTCTATCCATTAAAATAAACCTACCAAAAAAATTACAGTCCCTTACTTTCTTTGTAAGTGGGCAGTATATATATACTGTTTCCTAATCCTTGTAAGGTATCTAAATAGATGTAACAAATCAAAAGGTTAAAAATTAAATCCTGTTTCGTACCATATCCGTGGAAAGTTCCTCAGACATTTTCAAGTATTTAGTTTTATCTAGCAGAATTGTATCTAGCGGGATATATTTCCACCTCAGTGTTTCTCTTCTGGATCTTCTGTCACCTTCTTCAGACAGCAGTGCATCCATGTGCATCCCTCGTGCAGGAAACAGAATCCCTGTCCACAGGAAGTTTGATTAAATATTGTTTTCGACCAGTTTCATTCACGCCACCATCTCTCATAAGTGCATAATCTCTCACGTCAGTGGATTTCTGCTGTGGACGCATGCCGTTTGGATCCAGGAAGCCCCATGTCACACAAACACACACTTTGCATGTGTCTCAAGTTAGAGTAATGCATCCCTTGGGCTGGGTTTTATACCTCCTCCTGTGATTTATCCTGTGTTTATTATTAACATTTGTTTTCATGCTTGTCAAAACAAAACAAAAATCAATAAAAACAAATGATACCATAATAATGAATAAAGGAAACCCAGAGTGAAAAAACAAATTATTGAGGTAAATTAAAACAAAACTGTTATTATTTTATATAAATTGAATCATATGTTGATTTGAAGACGTCAATGCATTGTCAATTTCACCAGCTGTGATATTTGTTTCTGCTTCTCTGTTCATAGGTGTTCTGCAAACTGGTCAGGAACACAGTGCGAAAGACCTGCAACCAAGACCAGCCGTTCAGAAAATGTCAGCGGGAGTGAGTGTCACAAACACACACACACATACACACACACACACACACGTTTCCCAAAAACTTCACAATCACAATTGATTTCAATGGAGTTTGGTGTTAGCACATGCTGCTAATGGCATAAAAGTACCAAAAAATGATTGTAATGCACATAAATGATGGGTAAAAAGTTCTGTTTTGAATTAGATCGTTCTCATATTGAAATATTTTATTTGAACACTTCCCTAGTTCACCATTTTGTATGGTCATTGTAATGCATTCTGGGATTGCCTTATTTAAGCAGGATCATTTTAATTCTGTGTTAGAATTTAGCCAAAACAAGGTATCTCGAAAGTGTTATAATTCTTTAATTGTACGTCAGTTAGTCAGGAGAGAAAATGCAACTGTACTCTTCCCTTCTGTCCGAGTTGGTAGAGACAAACGTTTTCCCCTAGTCGTCAGTCAAGCAGTTCCAGGCAGTTCATTCGTTTCATTTTTGCAGAGAAGCATTGACATTTTAGCCGTGTTAGCTAAGATAGGTTAGCAGTTAGCATCAAGGGTGTGAAAACTTTTTGAATTTAAAGATCCTGGTAAATTGTACTTATTTTGTCTTCTGGAAAATCTCAGTATATTCTGTAGCTTCTGAAGGGCAGTACTCAATTAAAAAATGTACACATTCTGTTCACCACACCCTTACATAAAGCATTCATATTACTTTATGTAAATACAGTGTAATTGAAACACTGTAAAAAGTACATATAGGTTATTTATTTTTTTCTGTTCTTATTTTTATTTTTTTCAGGAAGTATTGCCATAATAGTGCCTCTAGTTCTTCTTGTATGCATTATCACCGCTGTTGCAGTGGGACTCCTTATTTGCAAAAGATGTCGAAGGTAAATATATAAACAAATCTGTAATTAGTTGTATTAGATATCTAATCAGAACATTACACATCTGATTTATTGATAAAATCTTGTAAACCATCTGTGCTTCAGCATTTAGCTTGTGTGCTAAATGTCCCTGTGAAAACTAAACAAAGATAATATGCATTACCCCTTCACAGAGGTAAACAGGTTCAGCGGCAGCCTATGGCCAATGGTAGCTTGAATGTGGAGATTGGGAATCCATCCTATAACATGTACGAAGTTGATAACGACAATCACGTAGACGTGGGAAGCTTTCTTCACCCCAGCTTCACCCTTGACCCTCATAAGGTACTAAATGAGTAGGAATTGTAAGTTCTGAACAACTTTCTGGAATTTTTCTTTTATAAATTCATTCTGCTGGTGTTTCATGAACAAGGTCTATTAAAAACAAATGACCTGCAGGCAACTAGTCCAATGTGACTAAGCAACAGAAAAATTGCTAACGTTTTTAGTTTTAGTTATTTTACTACTTCAGATTTATCCGAAAATGTAAAATGCTGCCTTAAACTTTTTTTTTTTTAGCGTAGGTCTTAATTTAGTTTTAGTAACAATAATAGCTCTGGATACATGAATAAATTTTTCCACATTCAAACAATTCAAATAATAAAGCATAACAAATCATGACTGTAAAATATGTCAGATTCAGTATCCAAAATTGTACTAAAAAGTTCCATAAGATGTGAAAAGTTCTATGTGTCTAAATTCTAAACTGGTTAGTTTTGCTTGGTTTAGTAAAACTGAATATTTCCTTTGTTCTCTTTTATTTAGCCAAAGTCCCACAAGGACATTTGTGACCCTGGAGCACAAAACCAGTCTTAAGTCGCTGGGGTATATTTGTAGCAATAGCCAAAAATACATTGTATGGGTCAAAATGATAGATTTTTCTTTTATGCCAAAAATCATTAGGACATTAAGTAAAGATCATGTTCCATGAAGAAATTTTGTAAATTTCCTACTGTAAATATATAAAAACTTAATTTTTGATTAGTAATATGCATTGCTAAGAACTTCATTTGGGCAACTTTAAAGGCGATTTTCTCAATATTTAGATTTTTTTGCACCCTCAGACTTTCAAATAGTTGTTTCTCATCCAAATAGTGTCCTATCATAACAAACCATACATCAATGGAAAGCTTATTCATTCAGCTTTCAGCTGATGCATAAATCTCAATTTCGAAAAATTGACCCTTATAGTCTTTATGGGACTGATTTCTTTGCCTCAAATCAATTGAGTTCGCAGAACTAGAAGAGTATTCCAGAGTAGCAATTTTAGTTTTAAACTCTTGCTTTATATGTAATTTGGGCTCCAACCAGAATTTGCCCAAATTATTTAGTCTAATTTATGATTTTAATCTGCAAGTTTGTTTATATATACAATGCTTGCAACGGTTTTAGTGCATTCCAGTTAAATGCTGTTGTTTTTCAGGGCTGGTGTGTGAAGTCAAGCGACCAGCGCAATTTGCCCCCCGCGCGCCCACTGACTGCACACACTTTACCCATCCAGAACGTTCCAAAGGAGCTCATTCCAGGACAGGTGGATTCCAGAACTCATTCAAATGAAGCATTTTACGTTCATTAAGAAAGTATAAAACAAACTATAACATAATTGTATGTTTCCAGGCCATGAACTATTCAAACTCCATCTACTCAAAGATGACGTACCATGACGGACAGCACTGTCGAAAGCCAGTCATCAACCTCGACACGAAACGCCATTTACTCCCAAAGAGGCTGGAAACGACGATTCGAGAAACGGCGGCGTAACCTAGCTTTTCCACAACCTGCTTCGTTTTTGTTTTTTATAAAGAGCTGTATAAATATATGAAAAAAAATCAACTTTTTATGTCCAGTCAGGTTAAATCATCTCACTTTGCGTCCCATATATATGTGCTGATTTTCTTTTGAACAGTTTCTTTCTGTTGCAACCAAAATGTCCTTTTATAAATGACAAATGCAGTGTTTTCCTTTGCTTTGTGACTTTGTAAATGCACTACACAAATATGAAAAAAAAAAAGAAACGGACAAAGCTGCTCAATCTCAAAAGGCTTTATATACATTTAAAGATAATTTTATATAGGTTTATTTAACTACACACTATGTATATGTTTTCCTGTTGGTGAAAGGATTGCCAATGCCTAGATATTCCCAAGTTGCCTCTTACATTTAGCAGTATTAGAAAAAAAGAGACACTTATTTAAAAAAATGCATCATATGCTCATCACAGATTTTATTTTTGATATCTCTCATCGATGTTTCTCGCATATGTTTATCTTTAAGTTGACCGGTGTTTCCAGGCGCTTCAAATATGCAGTCAAAACCAAAAGTGAAACCAACCCACGATGGTTTTTGCAACTGTACAACTTGAAAACCATGTTATTTCATTTTCATATCGCAAAATGTCTTTCAGCACTGAAAAGGACTGAAAACGGATTTTATGTCACACAGCCTCACTTTCACTCACTGGTTGTGAAACGACACGCGTGGGACTCTTGTAATGCCATGTTTGATGAAAAAAAAAACACATTCTCTGTGCAAATGTACACAACTAGAGGACAAGGAAAAAAGTTTTATAATTTTATAGTTGATTTGTACGTCCGGTTTGCTTGTATTTTCTGGAAATGTATTAAATGTAGAACTTTTATACAAAACGATGTACACAGTTTACTGGTCCGTCTTCACTTTGGGTTGAAGTGTTTTTAACTACAAAATAAACTAGCTTGATATTGCACTGTGCAATCGTACAGGTTGCTGTTGAATAAGGGGAAATGTAGGACATTTATTATTTAAATACATACAGATACACCTAATGTGATTTTGGACCAAGAACTATGAAATAAAATGTGTTTTCTTGTCATTTTCAATGCGTTTAGTTGTTATTGAAATGTACACTTATTTGCATACCTAATGTAAGAACAATGGCTTATTCATGTTGCGTGTAGAATTATTTTCATTTTCTTCCTTGTTTAACAGGTTTGATCCACTATAATTTCCATTTCAGGAAAAACGGAGGACATTGCCTTACAACAGAAGGTGTGCAAAGCCTCATCAAAGTGACCGAATTACATTGGTGAAGATGTCGTTACCAGAGCAATTTGCGAACAACCTGGAAAAACAGCTCAGAAAAACTCCAGGATTTGGCACGTTGCCATTTACCGTTGTATTAATTGGAGTGGAATTGTTAATGGATCAGGGATTTTCGTGCCCATGTACCCCAGGCCTTAATGCAGTACTGATCACCTTCATCTTTCTTGGACCTGCTCTTCTGGCTCTGACTGTGATGATGTTCATGAGAAGGCCTTGCAGACGTAAATCGCAGAATGTCACAGAGCTTATTTTATTGAGTCTGATTCTGCCTTCATTGTGGATGTTTCTGTTGCTGTTTGAGGGTGAATATGTTGCGTGTGGCGTGGCACACTGGGAAGGAGATTACGTCTTGGATGAAGAGCTCCAGATTAAATGGTGCAAACCCACTGGAATGAATCACGCTGGAGTGAATGGAACAGAACTGCTGGAACTGACCGAAAAAATCATTTTCTACTCGAGGGTGAGTCTACTGTGTTTACACGGTTTATTAAATAGGACCTTCTTTAAAAATGATTCTACGACACTGATGAGATCACACATCAGCTGAATTCTACATTAATGACATATCGTTGATTAATATTACTCAGTGTTGTACTTTACTTTGATTTTTACCACTTAGCATTAACAAAAGCACGTAAAATCACTAATGCTGCAATCATATTTACTATTGTTCAGCGATTTATTGCGTGCTAAATGCAGTCATTTCAGTAGGAATCTATTGGGTGATTTCGCATGAGGATGAAAGATTTTTCTGAAGGAAGTACCAGCAATTGCGAGCCATTAAAATAGTGTTAATATAACTTTTGTAGTTTAATGTCATTTGTGCAATGTAGTCCAATGGCACTAAATGTAAGAAAAAAAGAACACAATTCAGTATGCAAATAACACAAGAAAGAGGACCAATAACAGTTCAGTATGCGATGATCATGATGACCAACATTCTGACAATGTAATGAAAGTCTTTGATTGTTACAGTTCTATAAAATTGCCAATTTTGATAATTTTGAATTTATCTGTGAAACAGTTTGAATGTAGGTTGTACATTAAATCTAATAATTGCAGAATTATGTGGGAAAAGAAGGCATGTTTGAAGAATATGAATACACTCTAAAAATGCTGGGTTAAATACAACCGATGGGTCAAAACAGCCCAATTGCTGGGTTTGTCCCTAGGGTTGTATTTAACCCAGCATTTTTTAGAGTGTACTGTTATTCTGTCTTATCACCATAATAATCTTTTCTTATTTGTTATTAAAGCTTTCAGCTTTAGCTCTACTGTCAGTCCTCTGCATTTCCATCATGACTGCCGTCATTTATAGAGACTGTAAGAACAGAACTTTGGAGAAACGGGATGAACCAACACAACAAACATCTCTCAGCAGCTCAGAAGCGGATGTACAGCATCCGTCTGTCTGAATACAACGTTACGGTTATAAACGGTCATTAATGGAGACTTAAACAAGTTAGACTTTCACAAAGGAGCAACTTTCATTTCTGCTGTGATGCATGTTGTCTTGTTTCTTCACAATAACAAGATGTGTGGTTTACTGCCGTTAGGTGCAGAAAAAGCTTTTCTCATGTGCTCTGTGCCCAGTGCTGCACACTTACTGCCAAATGCAAATGACAATGCATGCCACCTTTGAAAAGTAAAGCATTATGGATGTTATTAAGTTTCTACAAGTTCATGTTCAGTTGTTCACTTATACAGTCATGGTTTGCTTGCATGAAAACACATTTTAGGTGAAAATAGACATTTTACACAAGCTAGTAGAGAAAGCAATAAGATTTATGCAGCACAAATCTGTATAATAGTCCCTTCAATCAAGGAATGTCTAAAGTTTTTGTCTGTATATATTTGCATAGTGGCATTTAGCCACGGTACGAGTCAGATGTGCTTTCGCATGAAGCTACACTCTCCAGTAGCGACTCATTCATACAGTTGGGAGAAAAACACCCGATCATTGTTAAGCCACAGGGCTGGCAAATCTCATGCAATTGACACTGTTCTCATGCCACATGTCTGTTTTCTCACAGAGTAAAAATGCACCCTCAGTTGAAACTGTAATAACAGGATATTGCTAAACAGATTTGGCAGCCTTTCAAGTGAGTATTTCTGGTTGCACAAAAGTTTCTATGTACGATGTGTTTGTAGCATTGATGCCCCATGATGTGAAATTATATTTAGAGTGGCAAGGGGGTGCCATGTAGACTGTGAGGGGTGGCAACACCAAAGCAAACAAGCATTCAATAATCTATCCTTAATGTATAGTATATTATCTAACATCTAAGTAAAAACAAAATACAGCCACAATTACCAATCATCATCACAACACACAGGTGTCAAAAATGGTAGCTGACTTTCAAGTGAAATCAGGCCATCTTACTGTTTAAGCAAGATGTTAAAAATACCCCTCTAAAATGTTTACTGTCATAAGGCATGTAGACGAATCGCATGTCATAGAATGTCAGTTTCAAATGAATGTGAAGATATCATTTGCAACTCAAAACTTTATCTGAAACATTTATCTCAAGGCTCTTTTCATTATTTATTTATTTATTTCTACAATAATGTGGGTAGCCTAATTTATGCTTTTAGTTTAAGTGTTTTATTCGTATATCTCGAAAAAGATTATTACTTTTTATATGGATAGCGATATATTTAATCTAATCTGGCAAGTTGAAAATATGTTTTACTGGTGTCTATAGAAATTCAACATTTAATGATAAGCATTTCACAGATTTCAATGTACACTAATTGCATAAACTATCCTGTTAGTACACTATACTTATACAAATTAACTAATTTATGCATTTATTTCCATTCAAAAGGATTGTAAACTGATAGAAAATGATTCAATCTAAAATATTCCTTATCCTGTGCCTTTCTAGTAAGATTATGGCTACAACATTAACGAAGACTGTTTTATGTACAGTGTGCGTCTTGCTCTGCTTGTAAACAAGACATGCCACCTTTAAAAATTATTTGATACTATATATGAACCAACCTTGCTATAATTCATAATTTATATGAGCTGACCAGCAAGATCGTAAGACCCTCTAACTCCTAGATAACCTTTAAGCTTAAAATAAATGTATTAAGTAAGGAATAATTGACGACAGACCATTGAATTATTAGAAAATAATGCAAATCCACAAATCTGATTGGTTGCCATCAGGCGGTGAAGCCACCGGAAGTGTTCAAGTTCGAGTCATCCGTCGGATTTTTATCATGTTCATCTGATGTTCGCTACTGTAATGTAGATGAATGTAACTTTTTAATACGCGGGGGAAATTCCTGACATTAAACAAATAACCGTTTACACGCTTGGGACGTTTGCATTGTAAGAATATACAGGGATACTTCAGATATAAAAACACTATACTGTGAGGTTTTCTATGAGATTGTATGAGAATACTATAGGGAATACCAATATGGCTTCACTTTTATGATGTTATGAGCAATCCAGCTCTCTATTAGAGATCAGTGAAACAGACACACACTGGCTTGCACAGAAAACGTGGACGCATGGACGCAGGTATTCACACGCATTTAAACTCTCTCTCTCTCTCTCTCTCTCTCTCTCTCTAATTACTGCACTAGTCTGCCATCAATGGATCACCTTCATTGCAAGCTCTAAAATGATGTTTTGGAATTAGCAACGAGGCGTTAATTCTACTATTTATATTTATTATTTTTAAGTACAAAAATCTGACGAATATCTTGAAATTATACTTCTTTTTATATTGTTTTAAATAGAAATTTTAAAAAGCTTATAAACATAAATTTTTGAATTTGACAGATGAAAATTATGCCATTATAAAGGTAAAAAGAAAATACTCCTGTAAGTCACTTTAAGGAGTCAAATGTCACCTCGTATTAGGAAGGCAAATTCTTTATCAGAATTTTTTATTATTGATCAGAAGGTGCTCCTAATTTTTTTAATTAGGAGGATAAGCGGTCCTGACTGAAATTATTCGCTAAAAAATTAAACTAAATCTGCCAGCAGGTGGCGGCAAGTCTGATTTTATCACTGAATCATTCATTCAATTGATTTGTTCGAACGGCTGAATCATTTATGATGATTCTTTATGAACTGACGGAAATCCGTCGTAGCGACAGAACACTTTAATCCCTGCAAAATACAACATGAATGATGTCTTGAGGTGTGTTAACTGTGGTATAAGTGGAATAATTGACTCCGGTCAGTTGAATTATTGGAAAATAATGCACACCAGAAGTGTAACTCTGATTCGCGTTGTGGCTGCATCACCATCGGGTGTGGATTATTTTCTAATAATTCAACGGCCCGTCATCAATTATTCCTTACATAAACTAATGACAGATTTTGTCTTTAAATGTGTGTTCAATTATAATTAGTTTTAAATGCATATTATGTATGTGACCCTGGACCACAAAACCAGTCTTAAGTCGCTTGAGTATAATTGTAGCAATAGCCAAAAATACTTGTCAAAATTATTGATTTTTCTTTTATGCCAAAAATCATTAGGATATTAAGATCATGTTCCATGAAGATATTTTGTAAATATTCTACTGTAAATATATTAAAACTTAATTTTTGATTAGTAATATGCATTACTAAGAACTTCATTTGGACAACTTTAAAGACTTTTATTTAGATTTTTTTGCTCTCCAAGATAAAATGATTTCACAGGTAATTTTTTCAATGGAGAAAAAAGAACAACAACCAGAGTAAGTAAAATCAATATGGTTTCCAATGCAGAATTTGAGTTTTATTGAGAGGTATTCAGTAAATAATTTCCTAAATATTTAGAATTTTATCATAACTACTTTCGTTCAGCTAAAATTGGGAAATTTAACAATCCTGTAAATTTGATCATAGTTTATCATTGTAATATTGTGAAATGGTTGCTGCTAAAAATCAATTTTTAGTTCAACAATACAATACTCATACTGTCTAAAATGTTACCATTAAAAGATGAATAACAATCAATTCAGTCATTGTGTGCTGATGTGAATAATATGTATTTCTTTCTTTTTTTTTATTTATTTTTGCAGGGATTTATTCCAGACAGGAAAAATCAAAAGGGTCGTCAGGCTTAAGTAAGCGTGTTGTGTGTATTAAGATGGATCCTTCAAACTTTATGAATGTGTTAAAATTGCTGTCCAAATCGAATATTAAGTTAGCTGGTCCACTCCTAGCTTTGTTAGTGGGTTTACAGATATTAATGGATGTAAAGTTCTCATGCCCATGCCTTGTTGGGTGGAATACAGCTATATCAGTTTTAATCTTTTTTGTACCTGTTCCCATTGCTATTGTTATAATTCTCCTATTTTTCAAGCTTAGAGCACAGGGCACAAGTGGAACATCTCAAGCACAGGGCAAGTGTGGAACTGAGTGGAATTGTACAACGGTTGTGATTTGTCTGGTTCCATTTGTGGTGTGGTTATGTTTATGTTTAATTGATGGTGATTATATCGCGTGTGCAGCGACAGACTGGAATGGAAAGTATGCCTGTGATGATGAACTACATCCAAATTGTTTGAATTGGTGCAAACCCACTGAATTAAACCAAGGAATAACTGAGACTGAACTATATAACTACACACACATATAGATTACTATATCAAAGGTAAATATCACAGGATTCTCAGCCCATGCACTTTCTTATACTGTCTAAGTTTAAGACTGCACTGTTTTGTTTTTTTCTTTACATATATTTCAGAATTTCCTGAACATAGTTATAAACCCATATAATATGATTAATTTGTCACAGTAAATCAACACAGTATGCGCAGCATATAAGATCAGAGTCTGCAGTAGTCGGCATTCACAGTTTTTGTGACTGCATTTGCACCATTGGCGGATTTGCATGATGCCGGCACAAAAACAATGCAGAGCGCTCATAGGAATTATTATTTTTTTGATTCCCCTGGTTTTCACATTAAATTATTAGAAGGTATATGTCTCCAACATAATTTGAGGTGAAAGAAGAAACATTAAATTATATTACTATGTGACATTAGGAAAACAGGAATAACTCATAGTACATGATATTTACCTTTGATTTATGAATAAACTGGCGATTCAAATCTTTGAGCTCTGCCTCATTTCGCATGTCACCATTGGGTTTACACCACAACCTGTTGAGCTCAACATTAAACACATAAACTCCCTTCCAGTCTGTAATGGCACAAGCAATATAATCACCATCAAGTAACAAGATGATGACCCACATTAAAGATGGCATCAGACAATGTGCTAAAGCTTTAGGCCAGTTCTGCCGAGTATCATTCTCTCTTTGAGAACAATGAAACCAATCATGTTTAAAAGGTCTTAGAATAAGATACATTAAAGCAAAAATAAAAAAAGGAGGACAAACAAAAATAGATGCTGTTAGCCATGTATTCAGATCATGTCTGCATGGGCATACAA